GTGCAATTGCAAAATATATATTTTCTATATTGTATATGTAAATTTATTATATGTTTTGTTACACCATATAACAAAATAATCTAAAAATTTCAACTAAGACTTAGAATTGAATGATTTTTATTAATACATGTAAATATATATTATATCTTCTATTTTTCTGTACCGTAAAAATGATAGTAATGATAGAATTCATAGATTGAAGTATTATATAAAAGAAATATTGGATCTGTAACTGCAATTAAATATCAATTTTGTGGCCAATTTATGTAATCTATAATTGTAAAAATATATAAATTTGCAAATGTGGAACAACATAGGAAGAACGATGTTCTTTGTGATATACAGACACATACATACACATAATTTGCTGTATTCGCCCTCTTTCTCTTGTACATAAAGCAACGAGAATAAAGTAAGCTGTTTCTATGTATAATATGCAATATTCATTTAATATATTGATTTTAGTAATAAAGATATTATATTTTACCCCACTTTTGTATAGGTAAACTTAAATGCTTCACGTCACCGTTGTGTAAATGACATTTGATTAAAACAGTGAACATTCTTTTTACTGTTGTTTATTGATTTTTATAATAGTTGCAATTGCACAACGTATTCTAAATTGTAATTACTGACTTTTCTTGTAATATAATTATATGAGTCGATCTACGTAAATCAAATCAAATCTTTCAATAGGAAACGTGGGGACGTGAAAGAACGTGCAAAACTGATATAATTCAATACAATTATTAAACATATTACTGAATTCATTTGATGAGTGCAAATATTTTTTCAAAACGTAGTCAGAACAGAGGATGGGCGTACTATAAGCTTCGCTTAGTTAGACGAAAATTATTAATTAATTTCCTGTCTAACAATAAGTATTCTTTCATTATAATTCAGTCTATAAGTTTGCCACACTATACTGGTTTCGACAGTATCGAAATATTCACATCAATATTAACTTTGGAGACCCAGCACTCTCTCTTTTTATTTCAAACCAATGTAGCTCGAAAGTTCGAAATATATATAAGAAGAATCTATACACATCATATCCATGTATTTTGTTGTATTTATTTATATTACGTGCATTATGTATAAAAAAGAATGCCTGAACATTTAACAAAATTTAAATATCTTCCGACAAAAAACCAAAAAACTCATTGATAACGTCTCTCCTCCAACAAACATGAAAATCGATTGTATACATTTATGTTTATAATAAATGTGTACGTTCTGCATATCTGCCTGTTTCCGCGAACGTTTGTTTTCCTATTCTCGAAGCAATTAACCGAATTACTTACAGATTCAGATTCCACACTTCTCTGAAACAACATTATATTCTCAGCACCGTGATAATAAAATATAAATAATACAATCAAACAATCAGTAGCTTGCTTCAATTTTACAATGTGTCTCGTTAAATACCATTTTCGACATTCTTCGAAGAAGCAGTCTCGCCCCCTGCGTTATGCTTACAATCTGGAAGATTATAACAATAGTTAATCGTTGCCTGTCCTTCCATATTACTATTACAAATATCCTCGAACTGTGCTGTTACAACAGTTCGATGGTTGTTTGCAGAATTCAGAACGTCGGCGATTGTCAACACAGATTACAACATTTTATTTGATAACTCTTGTTCATTATTTTATAATTAGACATCAGTATATAATATATATGCCATTCTTTAATTATGCTTCATGAAGAATATTTCTTATGAATAATATTTTATATTTATCTGCTTTCTGGAAATTCGTAATTGATAATCTGCTAAGATTTTTCTTGTTCTTTTCTTGTGCAACCTTACATACAATAGTGGTTAATGGTAATAATATTAATGTACAGAGGCCCTTAAGTAACGTTTTCCCCGAGAACAATGCATTTCCGTGTGTATGTTCGAATAACATGTCTTTGTGCACTACGCTGAAAATATCTCAGCGTCTTCGATATACATTAAATTCACTTTAGAAGAGAGAAAACAAGAACTCTCAGAGCTGTACGAATAACCGAAATTGTCAAAGTGAACGTTTCTTGCCAGGTGAGACTATCCACACATCATTCTGAGATCACCCACTTTTGGATACATTTTCGAATTATTAAAAATTCTGACAATGATTGTATTCGCAACATATTTGATAATTTGTAACATGAAATAATGAAACTGATATTAAAAACAAACGTGGAATTAAAAATAATTAGATACAGTAACGTTTCGAGTGAAGTTTACCAATTATTTTTTTATCGTTTTTGCGTTGTTGTTGCGAATGTTTAAAAAGTCATGCTCCTAATTGTTCTATTACGAAAATCAATGTGGTAATGTAATAGCAGAAATGGTAGTGAATAATGAACTTTGATCAAAACAGCTAATACACTACAGTGACTATGTGTATGGATTTTCATTTTTTACAGCTGGTACTAGCATAATCTCATCGTTCGAATTTATAGAAATAATATTAACAATTATAAATTAGGAGAGTTTTAATTCGTAGTGAAAGTATAACAAGATATCGCAGTCACATCAGTACATATCTAGTTATGTCAAATTATAGTTTATCCAAAAATGTAAATATTCCGTCAGCGACTGTGAATGTTTTAATTATGATTACTTACTTGTTAGACCGCATCCTTATTTGAAACCCATCCTACGTGCACTTAAAGTAACGTCTTTGAACTAATTAATCGACGCAACAGAAAAGGATATGGGACGAAGATTTTAACAGAAAGTCGAATAAACCATATGAAGAATTTAATTCTGATTTTTCCGGGAAACTTACCTCTGGTCCTTTTCAGCCGAAATGTAATCTATTTTATGAGCAAACTACAACAAGCCTCGAATCACCAATAGAGCCCAATGGAATTCAATTTTAATTAATGTAAACTCACACTTTCATTTATTATTCTTAAACGATGCAAATATTTTTTAGAGTTTCGGGGTTTCCATAAGAGCGAATATCGGAGTTAACTTAAACTCTTTGTTAAGGGTATTCGGACCTTCGATTAATAAAAGTTATGAACTAATTAGTGTTCCGAAAAATATTTAACTTGCAAGATATCAAATATATTTAAATATGCGATATTATTTGCAAACTAATTGGAAAAATTCATAATCCAATTCGGCGAGATTAAAAAGTAAATATTCACGTTGGTTTATGAAGTCTCGTTACGACTTATAACTTTAATTATAATTTATCTTTGAAAATTGAAATTTGCAATATTTAAAGATGAAGGGACAAATGATACTTTAACATAATTTTAAAACATGAGAATTGGGACGAACCTGTTCCTTGTCTCGTCCTCAAGATTGAAAGTTATTTTTCCTATCTCGGAATGAATGTCAACAGACACAAAAAACTAGTAACAAGATTTCTTTAAATAACTACCTCGAATATAAATTTCATATCGATTTTCTGATAAATGTCTCCATTGTATCGTTTAGCTCTGCGGGTTTTTTCTTTCGACAGTCCTCGATGATCGATTGTGTGATATACTTAAATGTTTTGTTAGAAGACAGCTCACATTTTCCTCGCAAATTTTACGCAGTCACACAAAATGAAAATGAACAGTTCATAAATTACGGGTGCCATAATTTTTCATCCGTTAAATTGGAACCTCGAATGTCCGAGTGGTGTTTGTTTTCGACTAGTGAATAAATCTTACGTGGCAAGATATTTTCCAAATCTCAATGATTATGTCGGATACCATTCGCCAAGAAATTTTCGGTTATTCGGGCAATTCTGTTCGTCGAAGCATCATCCCCTTCGTATCGAGAAGCTTCTTGTCAACTGTGACGACGGACTTCTTCCCGATTGATCAGCAAATGTTTTTTTTTTATTATAATCTTAATACAAACGCTAACACAATACTTTATTTATAACAGTAATACTATACCTATTATAATATTTATAATTCTATAAATATTATACCATTGGTATACATTATCTTACAACTTGTATTAAAATTATAATAAATCTGAATTTGACACTGAGTTCATCACAATGAAACGGCGTCTCGTGTTAAATAGACCTATCCGATGGATATTCTGTGTGTGTCTTATCGCTAAGATTTATTTCTCTCGTGTACGCGTATACGAAGCCCCTAAAAAGCGAATAGAATCGTCTGTCAATCCATCGTCTGCCGGACCGTGTACAAAGAAACGAATGATCGTCGAAACACGACGTCTTACTGGACTACAATGGCGTTCAGCTGAGAACGTCGATGCGTATACTTTGTTCTCTGTTTCTTCTCAAAGACAAATACAACGAACAGCCATGGACTTTTGTTAGAAATATTATATACGTACAAATAGTAACCCCTTGCGATTCTATTCGGCTATACCGTCGCTCGAAATTATACAGTGAAACGTTACAAAATTATTTACTATAGAGAATGTACAGTGTACGAGTAACGTTACGCGTCACGTTATTGTTTCAACGTTATTGTTTATTACAGTAGCTGCCTCTGCAGAGCACTCTAATGATTCTCGCCTTTTTTCTACCCAACTTATGATTCGGGAGACAAGGGTAGTAGCGTCTCCGTCGAATTATACAATTTACCGCAAAGGGTTGCAAATTTAAGGTTTATAACACTGGAAAGTAAGATTCGCTTTTAGCGCTTTATACGAAGGAAATCGAGTTCGTTGAGAAGCTTCGATGAACGAATGTTTAACACATCTGTCGGAAACATTGGAGTGGAC